CAATCTTGCATGAAGTAGAAATTCTTGACTAACTGATTTTTTCGTGCCCAAGGAAAGAAGTTCTTCTTCAAGAACTCACAGTAAATATCAGCACTGATTGTCGGACTCTCAATAAATTCAAGGAAAATACCTTTTATGTCATTAGGCCCGATAAACCGCGATTCTAACCTCGCTTCGCTCGGTTAGATCGCAGTTTTCGGGCCCAACAACATAAAATATCGTATGCCACACGGCGATAAAAGCATTATAAAGCTACATTCGCCAGATAATACTTTTATCGCTTAATGACATAATCTATTATTATTGTAATTGCCGCTCATGCAGCGACGTTTTTCGGGTGTGAGGACTCGGGTTTAAATAACGTGAGGTGACTCAGTCCCCCAAAAGCAAAAATTTTGTTTATTTACTAAGCGACCTAAGTAGAAATGTGCTTCGTCCGAGAAAATGATATTCTGTGCCTTCATTTCCTTGGATTCAAAAAAATTGTAAAGTTTTTGGCAAAATTGCACACGGCGGGCCATCGCCTCCTCACTTAAAAATTGATGTACAGAAATTTTGTAGGGATGGAAGTTTAAAAACACTTTCAAGATGCGGTGAAGTGAAGTTTTTGAGACTTTCAAGGTTTGAGAAGCCTTTCGAAGAGTATCATTTGGACATTTTTTGAAATGTTCTTCAGTTGTGCGGACAACTTCTGCGTGGTTACAGTACGTGAAGGACCAGGATGCTCATGCCTTGTACCATCTAGTGTACCCTACTGATCAAATTTCTTAATTATCCTGAAAATACCCATAATTGGTCGAAAAATGCCTCAATTTTTAACAAAAGAAGAAAACAAAATTTTTTGGTTAGTGCATTCCCTTTATTTACCGTTTGTGACTCGAATCAGACACTCCAGTGTGTGTGCCATACTTAAAATGAAATGCTTTTCGGTAATATGATTTGATGAGGAATGATTTTTGTTCGATTGTTAAATTTTCCATTTTAGTGCTGCAATTCCCGAGCGACTGAAGCATGGATGAAATTTGCGCAGAGTCTCCGCTTCAACGAAAAAACATGAGAAATTGAAATTAAAAGTACTGAGCGGAAAAAGAGACAACCCAAAATAAGAGTGGTTGGGCAAGACTTGAGAGGGAGGGATGGAATATCCACGAGGCCAAATGTGACATGAAGAATTTGGATAGTGCCACGCAGGCAGATAACTTGGCCGGAGTCTCGAGCACCTGCGGAAAGTAAGGTGAATTGGAGGGAGCAGGGAAAGCAATAGTACATTACGCAACTAGTGCGGAAAGCAGGCGGTTACTCACGAGGGCGGCGCAGCCGCCCGAGTGATACCGCCTGCTGTCCGCACGTGTTGCGTATACTATTTTATATGATAAGTGCGTGATGAAGTCTGGGGGCGCAGGGGGGGGAGTGGGGGGTGTGGGGGACGAAGCCCCGGACGAGAAAAGGGGGTCCAGGGGGCGAAGCCCCCGAGGGGGG